TGACATTTTTAAATTTTGAAAGGTAATGCCAAAAATATTTTCAGTTGTCGTAATGCCGTAATGCCGTAATGCTGTAATTCTGACCTAATTTTGACATCATTTATACTATTGGGCCCTTCTTGATATATATAAAAATATTTCATGCACTCAATAATTTCTTGATAATCGTCTGATATTTGAAAATATCAAGAAACCGATAGGTATCTGATAGATATCTGATATTTGAATTTTGATCTATATTAGTAACAATATCAGAAATGATGAGAAACTCTTACTCTATTATTAATTAAGTCTTCTCCTATATCTAAAATGATTTAGTAATAATGCCAGAAGTACTACTAGATCCTACCTTCTGCAAAATTTTTTATTTCATTTTTGAACAATTGTTAGAAGAGCCTATATTCTATATTCTGCAAGAGGTAGTTATAATATCCCTAGTATCACTTATATATCGTATTATACATTACAATATATGTCAGATAATGACTTCCAAGAATTATTAGCAGAAGTAACAAAAGCACAAATAAATAAACAACAAGAGTGAACCATCAATTCTCCTTTTTTGAGTTTCTAAATTCTCACGGAAGCTCAAATGTAAGAAGAGGAGTGTATTATTATTTTTTTTATTCTCTTTATTGTCATTGTATTTTCACTCTCGTTTCCATCTATCACACTCCTTTACCTTTAATTCTCATTTATATAATTTTCCTTTTAATTGTTGTCACCACTCTTCTTCTCCTTTTTTTCTTTTCCTAATATTACTTATCAATATTTATTACTACTTACCTTCACTTATTCACTTATCTTGTATTATACATGTTTTCAAAATTAATTTTGGATTTTTGAAGTATTTCAACTTTTTGAGATTTATGCAGAATCTATTCTATATATGAAAGTAAAAAAAGTATTCAATTATGTATATATTCAATTAAAAAATAAATCTAGATAGACAAAAAATTTTAAATTTTAAGTAAAATAATTTTGTCTTCTATGAAAAACTACTTTGACTTTTTTTCTTGAAATTGTAATTTTGAGGTTCCAAAATAATTTTGTATGCAAGTATACCTTGTACTACCCACTTCATTTTTGTTCTCTCTACTATCTCTTTATTCTGAATTTGTCCTAAAAATCTTGATTCTTTATTCTCTTTCTTCACCTATATTTATAAATTCATTTAGCTACACCAGTCACATACCACATGATTTCTGATATACTGTAGACTGCAGATACTGCAGTTTACTGCGGATTACTACAGAAATCACCATTTTGCTTAGATAGTAATCACTCTTGCTAGTGAAAGAACACTTACCAAAGTAAATATATAAATGTTTTGAATTGCCACTACCTCCACAATAGTCAAGAAGCTAAGTAAGACTGGAATTGAGTCTATTTTATTATTTTTTTTTTCTTTTTTCTTTTTTCATCATATAATTAATTGATAGATTAATTTATATTTTTAGAATAGAATTGAAATAACTATAAAAGTAGTTTTAATTTTTTTTTCTTATGTATAAATCAGTGATTAATAAATTTTTAAGTATCAATTAATCAATAATGTTATTTTTCTTTACCTTGATTAATCCTTTAGATAATTTTTGAACAAATATAGGATAGATTTCTTTACTTTCTTTATTTCTTCTTGTACTTTCTTTATTTTCTTAATAAAATCTTTATCTTGTCTATAAATAAGTTATGTACATATTTATTTATTTTCTTGCATTTGTTTATAAATTATAAATAAAGTTTATATTGTATAATCCAGAGTCTTAAAATAAACTATTGATCTTTAATTTTTCACTCAAACTGTCATGTGACTTAGCTAGAACTCACTTTTTTCATTCTTTGAATTTATCCATCCTTTAAATCCTTCTCAAATCCTAGTGAACTATTTCATTTTGTTTCTTATTGTCTTTAGATTAGAATTTGTCATATTTTCTCTTTTCTATATTCATTATCTCTCCTTTAATTATCTTCTTCTTGTTTTACCTAGCTTCTTTGCTTTTATTACCCTATAGTATAGAATATTAGTTACTTTAGTATTATTTGTCTTTCTATACTTCCAAAATCATTAATAACTACTGGCTAAATTCAAATACTTGTTGTACTTGTCCCCTCACTCTCCCAACAGGTAGTATCAATGTAAATTGCAATCGGGTCATCAAACTCATGATAAAGTCACCATTCAGTAACTTCAATGTGGTCAACTTTATAAAATCAGTTACAATAACTATGACACTATATACCTAATTCCCATGTGGCTATTTTTTCAAGATTGATCACACATCAATGTGGTCAAAATTATGATATAGATCATCTTCAAATGCAACCAGAATTATAATATAGGCCACATAGCTAAGTGGAAATAACCTACATAAGTAAAAATAATATAATTATATTATTTCTACTATATTATGATTATACTTTTAAAAATCTTAAAGAACTTGTTCTACAGGTATTAAATTCTGTTTTTTTGACCAAGATTCGTTGGTTTGCATGTTGATCTAACTGATATATGAGTGCATATGAACAAGGCCTTTCAGGAAAGACTACTGTTTTTGCAGTAAAAAAATATTGGTCACATTGTCACATTCCAGAGTGTTTTGGAAGAATTTGGTCATTTAAAGTAATAAGTGGAATTTAGATAAGAGTTTTGATTTATGATATTTAGGGAATAGATTTCATCAATTTAAATGTCTCATTTTAAATAAAAAAAATATTTTAGATGTCATCATTTTCATTTAACTTTATTAATTTATCAATATTTTACATAACGACAATTTTATTAAATCACGTTTAATGTGAAACATAACCAATCATAGTGCTCCGAATGTAATCACATGTATCACGTGAATAAATTCTGGCCAATCGGTGATGATTTTTTAGTGCTGAAATATATATAAAACCCGATTTTTTAAACTCTTACTACTCAATAAATTATTATTAACTATATCAAAAAAAATACATTAAATTGTAAAGCTAATCAAGAGCTATCAAATCATTTTTTTTTTTTTAAACTTCTATATTTCGATAAAAAGTTTTAGCAATTTAAAATAAGTTCAAAATATTTGATGTTTCTGCACCATAACGAGTCTCAATTTTAAATGCTAATTGTGACACAATTAATAATTTAAATTGAACACGCGTAATATACTCATTCATAGCCTCATCTCGTATAGCATAAAGTGTTTCTATAACCAACTTAAGTTTTGCATTGTTTTTAAAATTTACGGCATTAATATATTTTGCCCGTAGATCTTTTTTGTTCCGTTTGATACACTCTTTTTCAATTGCAATAAGGCATCGATTGTATGTCCACCGTCCTGTTCCGCGTAAGATAAAGGCGGATACGTTGCACTTTGCATTGGATGGTGTATTTTTCCTTTTACAATTGGCATCCATTATATCACGCCACAAACATTGTGATGATTGTAACCCGGTTTTGCTATTGTTGATTCAGATATCTGAACCGAGAACAATGAGTTATGTCCTTTTTTTTTTTCAAGGATTCACTCCACAAGTTTTGAATTCGAAGCAGCAAAAGTGGTCTTTTCAGTTAACCACCATTTCTTTGATTCCCCCGTGTATATTCATTCCAGAAGCTTCCTGTATTTTCAGTTGAGTCCTGAGCCGATATCACTGGTGACTCTTCTATACTTTTGCTTGGGTTGCTGGTCATTTCTGAAGGCTTTGTATGTATTTGTATTTGAGTAGGATCATTTATATGTCTCTCGAATCTTTCTTTTACTTAGGTAAGTAATATTGTTTTGAGCCAGATTGTATTAAGAATGTGAGATAATGAAATATGTTTTTTGCTAAAAGAATATGATAATAATAATAAAGTATTTACTAAACTTATATTTATAAAAAAATAAAAAATGCAGAGTGCATTATTAGTTTCGCTATAACAATAATTGGTAATCGACAAATCATTTTATAAATTTTTCTTGTTAAAAATTAAGGAGGTAAATATATCATTTCTCGTCGTGAAACATGTGAACCCAATTCCAAAGAGATAATGTAAGTGCTGTAAAAATGAGAAGAAAGGTAAGTATATTGTTTTTTTTTTGCTTTTTTGTTTTAATAAAAAATACACCTACCTACCCATACATCCGCATACATCCACATACATCGGCGATGTTAAAATCTTTTTTTAAATATTCGGCGTTTACCTTTGTTAAATCCAAATATAGTATTTTAAACAATAATAAGTTATTCGTTACACTTAAAATTCTACTAATATGGTTATTTTATTTTTTATTTAATAAAATATCTAATGAATATTAATAATTCCTAGCTTTTTTTGGACAGCTTTTGTTTGATTTTATGAAAAACAATACAATTTTATTAAACAATGAACATTTCATAAAAACTGCAAACAATTTAAACAATAAAATTTTTAAAAAACAATACAATTATTTCATTTTATTTCGTAAAGTTTTAATACATTAGTTGGTTATTATTGTGAATAAAGATATGAATAATATTCAATATGTTATTCTTTTATAAAATAAAATAAAATACATTATTATATTATTCAATAATTAATTAATAATTTTAAATTTATATAATTTAATAATGAATATGAATAAATAATATTACGTAAAATGGGTAAGTATTTTGGTTATCCTTTTACTTGGGACTTTGTGGGACTCACCATGTGGTATTCTTGTATTTGACATTTTTTATGTTTCACTTTTTTTTTTTTTTTTTTTTATTCATAATAAAAAATTATATTAAAGTTATTCTTATTTATTATTATATGATTCTCTTTCTTTAAAAATAATTTATTATTAAATGTAAACGGTGTAGTACAATACTTTATTCGCAGACTTTTCACTCTTTTTTTTTTTTTTAAAATTATTATTTCCCTCCTCGACAAAAAAAAATATTTTACTTTTTATGTGAATTTGCAGGAATTTTATTTCCTTGCTCAAAGTTTCTTAAGTCTCTTTCCATTTTCATATATTTTCTAAAAATTTTCTTGAACAAATATATTCGAGATGACTAGTGACACAAAATTAATACATTCTTTGATACACAAGATTAGCACGAAGGTATGTTGAATTCTATGATATTTTATTCCCCTTTGTAATCTTTTATCATCAAATTCTTTCATTTTCATTAATTTTCATTAAATTCTTATTCGAAATAGTTACCAAGCAAAAGTGGGACAAATCTGGAAACTTTAGAATCAGATCCTCTTATTCTACAAACAGTAAACTCCATTGTCGACTTATCAAAATATAAACTTAGTATAATAGTACAAGCTTTAACAAAATTATTAGAAACGATATCACAAGTATTTATTTAATTCATTTATTTTTATTATATTTTTATATTATATTATATTATTTTATTTATATATATATATATATATATATATATACATAATATTAATGAATTTAATGAATTTAATTATTATTTAGTCAACTTCAATGGTGTTGGAAGATTTTGTCCCCTGTGATGTTCTTCAATCTCAATTATTTGTTCTAAAAATTTTGTCTGCGTGTGTAATTAATCATTGGAAGTATTATCGAGGAACACAAAAAGAAATACATTTTTCCACTTCCCCCATTACTCCCTCACCTAACGAAACCAATTCATCACATAATTATTATGAACATGATTCATCACCATCATCTTCATCATCATCATCATCTTCTTCTTCTTCCCATCGCTTTAATAATATTTCTCAAAATAATCAAAATAATCAAAATAATAATTTTGAAAATAATATTGAAAATAATAATAATAATAAAAATAATAATAATTACAATAATAATAATTACAATAATAATTATAATAATAATTATAACAACAATAATAATTATAATAATTCCGGAGCACAATTTAAATCTTCGGATGACCCACCACCTTTAGAAGATCAATTGGCGAAATCTGTTTTAAAAGTTTTATCACGATTTTTACATCAATATACAACTCATGAAGATAATAATCCAAATTTACAAAATGGAATAGGAACCAATGGACAACCTCTTCATAATAATAATAATAATAATAATCATCATCATCAAAATATTCAATATTCATCAGTCACTTTTGATATAATATGTGAAATATTTAAACTTGCCGGAAGAGTCATATTTTATATTAGTGCTTCAAATTGGAATGTAGTATTTGCCAGGATAAGAAATAAGATTGAATATTTAACTACTACAAATGATGAATGGCCAGAAACTGCAGAATTGAAATTATTGGAATGTTCAGATTTAAATTCTAAAAGATTATCAATGGTTTTACAAGGTTATTATTATTATTATTATTATTATTATCATTATTATTATTATTACTATTACATAATTACTCTATGGTTATTTGTATAATTTATATAATTATTTTTATTTATTACTAAACATTTTATTAGCATCATTATTATTATGATTTTAATTAAAAATATTTAGATATTAAATAAATATATAAGAAATAATCAAATTCAAATATTTATAAGAAATTTTAATTAATTGATTAAAATTTTCACTTACGATTTAATAATGGCAAATTTTTTTCTATTATTTATTATTATTATTATTATTATTTTTTTTTTTACATTTAGAACTTTGCGGTTCCTTCATGCATCTCAAAAAATCCGCTCAAATTGTAATGGCAGGCGTATTACGTAAAGCTATTTGGAATTGGATAGAAGTTTTTCCCTCTGAATTCGTGACATTATGTCAAAGTCAAAGACGTTTAGAAGGTGGTCCCGAAATTTTGTTTGATATATGTTTCGGATTGGCTGATAATAATCGAAAAAAATTAGTATTTTGGCCATTACAAACTATGTTATTGATTTTATGCCCAGATATATTGCTTAGTGCATCAATCTCCGAAAAGGCTCCTAATCTAACGAATAATAAGAAAGTGAGTGACATTTTTTTTTATAGTATTTTGTAACTGTGTCGTGTATGTGTCTGCCTGTACATTTATTTTAATAAATTCTTGTCAAAAAATAATTGTTTATATAGGTTATATTCCTTGACTCATTAAAGAGTTCATTGAAACGTAATAAATTAGCTGATATAGCAGCTGTATGTTATGTGGATATATGTAAAGCATCAACTTATGTTAGCAAGAATGAAACATCAGCATTAAGAATGATTGTTCCAGAAATTGAAAATGATTTACAGGTAAATTACATACATACAAATTGGTGAACGAAAATAATGACTAAAATTAATTATTATTTATGTTCTACAGGAAAGACTTTTTGATCCATCACGACCATTCCTCAATGAACAACAAATCGACCATCGATTAATGACTGATTGTTTAACAGCTCTATTTAGATTGAATACAAATATTTTACGATCATTAATTCCTGTGTGTTTGGCAGACACATCTCCTAACACCTTTAAATTGGTGTTGGTTAAGAGTTGTTATGCTATTGCTTCCGAGGTATTTTTTATTTTTTATTTTATTCTTATTTTTTATTTTATTTTTATTTTTATTTTATTTTTATTTTTTATTTTATTTTTATTTTTTATTTTATTTTTATTTTTTATTTATTTTTATTTTTTATTTTATTTTTATTTTTTATTTTATTTTTATTTTTTATTTTTTTTATTTTTTATTTTATTTTTTATTATCTTGATTTTTTATGAGAATTTACAAAATATATATGAGTTAAAACAAAATTTTTTTTATTTTTATACAGGAGACTAAATTTCCCTGGAACCCTCAACTATCTTTAATTTATCCAATTTTGGCATCCCCATTACGAAAATTATTTCATCAATTTATTTCGAATAGGGATAAAACTACCGATATACGAAGGAGACGATTACCAAGGGAAAAAAATGACGAATTGGAAAGGAACGAGAAAATGGAAATAATATTAAATATATTAAAATTGTATAAGATAGTTCCTTTTTTGGCTCTTACGGTACGTATGGGTAAAGGTTTCGTAATATAACTAATATAAAGTAATGTAAATTAATTAATTAATTTTTTATTTATTTTATATTTTTATAAAATAACAGAATTGTGATTCTAATGAGAATCCTGAAGAAATTCATGATGTGATCTATGATATGACATTATGTGTTAATGATTGTAATAGTGCTATACGAAAGACGGCAGCTGAAACATTATTGGAATTACATAAAATGGATTTGATTGAACAATGGGGACCACCAGAAATGAAAATGGAAAGGTTTTGGTTATTTAGGTAATAAAAAAAAAATGTTCTCAGTTTTTAGATAAGAGATGTTAATCTTTCGATGACAATTGAGTTCAAGTTATTTCATTTTAAATGCTTCATTATTTATTTATTTATTTATTTTAAAGTTAAAATTAATATTATTATTCTTAAAATTTATATTCTATAATAGTTCGAAAGTAATGGTAGCAATCGCGAGACAAATATTAGATTTCAAAGAAGGGGAGGAAGGGACAAAATATTTATTAGATTTGTTATTACAATTGTTCGTAAGAAGAAACGAATTCTTAAAATCTAATGAGGTAACATTTAAATGAAATATTTTCCATTTTTTTCCATTAAATTCTCTTTTAACTTATGAATAAATTATTTTTATTGATAGGACATATCAAATTTTGGAATAAACATTAGAGAAAGGATGGGATGTAATGTTGTGTTAGAATTAACATTATTAGTTCTATTATGTTCTCCTGACACTGATATATGTACGATGGCTATAAATTGTTTTAGACATTTATGTATTGAAGCTCAATTAACTACAGAATTAATCCCTGAGGTAATGGATGTACAGGCTGCACCATTATCAATTGTTGAAAATATTGATGTATATGCCGAATTATCTGAACCTCAAGTTATATCTGGTAAAGATTTAAGAATATAATTATTTTTATGTTTATGTGTAATAAGAAATATTTTAAAAATTAATGAATATATATATATATTTTTTAAAATATTATAGGTCGTATGGCACAACAAAAAAGAATTCGTAAACTATTGAGACGTATGAAAATACCAACACAAGGTAATGTGACAGCTTGGGAAGAAGCCTATAAACGTTGGAGGCATTTAACAGCATTAATAACAAAGTTACCCGAGGATCAACTTTCATTGGAATTCGAGGGTAAACCAAAAAGAGGATTACCATGGCCTGTCGCCGCCCCAGTTAAAGTTACGGGAGTTAATGCTGTTACCATTTCTGAGGTAAAAATATATATATATTATTTTTGTCTAGATTATATGTCAAAAATTTTTTTAAAAATTTTAGTCTTCTGATTTTTTTTCTCTTATGAAATTTTCACAATAGTCTCAACAGACAGAATGGCATAATTACACAGGATTTCTTTCGTCGCTTGGAGGATGTTGTATAAATGAAAAACAAATAAGTATTCTAAATAATAATCAAAATAATGAACGTATAATTGAGTCTGTATATTTTAATGGTGAAATTGGATCGAATTGTCATGCTTTGGTAGAAAAATATGTCACGGATATGGTAGATTTATTAGTTTGCGATTCAATCTATGTACGCGAAAGTGTACGAGAAACTTTAGGAACAGAATTGAGTCCCAGATTATATGTCCTTTTATTCCGAAATTTGGAATCCATAGTCGCCAGATTTTTTGATACAGATGGTGAAGCGAATCCCACAGAACGTTACACATTATTCGTGGAACAAGCGATAAGTGTATTAAAATTAATATTGGAACGAATTCAAGAATTATCAGAAAATTTATATACAGTAGATTTGGGTGGTTTAGTTTTGTCATTTGCGAGATATTTAAATCGATTGGGCACTGGTTATTCAGCTTTAATAATTAAGAAAAAGATGTGTCAGTTAGTTGAAATATTAACGTTAAAGAAAGAACATGTTACACTTCGACAGGAGATTATATTACGAAACCGATTATTAGAAATATTTATTGAGTGGACTTCTGATTTCACTATGGTAAATTTGAAATGTTATATAAGATTATAATAAGTTTTGTAAATTATTATTATTATTTTTTTTTTTTTTTAAAAAAAAAAAAGAAAAATTAAGTAATTCTTATAAAATACCATTTAACTCATAGAAAACTGATGCTCAAGGAAATTCCGAAAATTTATCGAATAGAAGCGAAAGATTACACCGTGATTTAGATCAAGCATGTTTAAAAACTACAGTGTCCTTGTTAGCACAATTACCATTGCAACCATCAGATGTTGTACACGAAGCTGAACTAAGTGGAGTAAAATCGAGATTATTTTATAAATATTTCTCTTTCTTTATAAAGTTGTTAAATCGATGTCGAATTTTGGAGGTATATTCATAAAATATATTTATGATTTAAAAAAAAAAATTGTTTCGTATGAATTTTTAAAAAAAAAAAATTAATCAATTATTAAAAATCAATAGGCAATTGATAGTGGAACACATTCTGCAAAAAATAATCAAGATTTACAAATGTTGTTATCAAAGGTATTTTAAAAAATCTTGACATAACTTTAATATACTTTAATTTATTAACAATCATATTCACGTGTTTTCGCAAAAAAATTTTTTTTTGTAGTCAAGAGAATACGTTAAAGATTTGGGTCCATTAAAAGATTACACAATATTGGCATTGAGTAATCTTTTGAGTGCTAACGTTGAATCGGGATTAAAATATTCGTTATCTATGGGATATCATGAGGATAGCAAGACACGAACTGCATTTATGCAAGTACTTACAAATATCTTAAATCAAGGTACCGAATTTGAAGGATTGGCTGAAAATGCGATGAATGATCGTTATGATAAGTTGGTCGAGGTATAGTTTTTTTTTTCTATATATATATATATATATTTCATCTTAAATTATCTTTTATAATAATTAATCATTAATAATTATTGTCTTTTAAAAATTCTAATATTAGCTCGTGACAGAATCTGATCTTAATGTAGCACTTTCATTATGCAAAGTATGTCCAGTATCCGGTATTGATGAGGTGGCAAGAATGTTATTGGCAGTATTTGATTCTCGCAATAAAGCAATGCCATTATTGAAAGCCATTATTGAAAAAGAAGTACAAAGTACTGGTATGTTATTATTCTATTGATTTGTTATTTTATTTGTTATTTTATTTGTTATTTTATTTTTATTATTATTATATGATTAAGTATATCAATATATATATATATATATATATATTAATATTTAAATAGAATCTGAAGCAACTTTATTCCGAAGAAACTGTATGGCTACTCGAATGTTAGCAGCATTTGGCAAGACACATGGTGCTGAATATTTACGTGACACTTTGCAACCTCTCGTTCAAAATCTTTTACAAAAATCAGACGATTTCAGTTGTGAATTAAATCCTGACAATCTTGAGCCAGGGGATGACATTGAAAGGAACTTTATGAACTTAAAGAACACAGCACAAGCATTTCTTGACGGAATCTGTTCTTCAGGAAGGAATATGCCTATGTAATATCACAGTGTATATACATATATATACATATTCATTTAATAACTTTTTATAATTCTTTTTTTTTCTTTTTTTTTTTTCTTTTTGAGAATAACAACTAAACAAATCTCTTGTTATTTATTTATAGTCTATTCCGACGTGTTTGTCATTACATCGGTAGTTCTGTAGAAGAAAAATATCCACGAGCAAAATCCACTACAGTTGGAGCTTTCATTTTCTTACGATTCTTTAATCCTGCAATAGTAGCTCCAGACAATGAAAACCTTTGTAAACCGATTGTAAACACAAAAATTAAACGAGCCTTATTATTGATAACAAAAGTTATACAAAATTTGGCGAATAACGTCTTATTTGGTGCGAAAGAACCGTATATGAATACGTTAAATGAATTCTTAAATTCTAATATTGTTAAAATTACGACATTTTTAGAAGAGATTTCTGTAAGTTTTTTAAATTCCAACTTTTTTTAGTTAAAATTTTTTTAGGTATTTAATTTACGTATATATTCTTATAATTTTTTTTTTTTGTAGAAATTGCCAAATCTACCGCAATTTGCAGATATAAATTCATTCGAACAACCATCCATTCGTAGATTGGATGATTCTGAACGAAAAACACTTCACAAACACCTCATAGAGAATCAAGAAAAAATGGCTAAAGATTTACAGTTTAGACGAGTGAAATCATTAAATCCTTCTATATCAGGAAATGTAGCATCTGATCAAACTCATGATAAGAAAGCATGGGATAAAATATCTACTTTATTAGCACAACTGGGACCACCTACAGAAACCCAAAAGAAACATTTTTCAATGACTAGTAATTATCATTCTAAAACGAATCATCATATGTTTATTGAATTTATGCGAAGAAATTCGACTCGTAATGCGGAATTTATCACATCGAAGGGAGTTTTTTATGAATCCGGTGTTTCAAAAGAGAAACGACCAGTATTTTATGCAATACTACGACGTCTTGAGGCAGATTCCACTGATATGGAACTTTTGATGTATCACGTTCTTCATGTAAGATTTGATTCATTATTTTTGATGATTGACCAAAAACGATTAAACGATTAAACGATTAACGCAAGTTATAATTTTTAATAATTTAAATAATTTAAATAGACAATAGAACCATATATGGGTAAACCATTTGAATTATTGGTGGATCTAACTCAATTTAGTCAGACTAATGAAATACAAGCACAATGGGTTCAACAATTTTTACAAATATTACCATTTGATGCAGTTGATAATTTAGCAGCATTATATTTTTATAATGCCAATACTGCATTTAAAAAATTTGTTAAAAAATTGGGACGACCTTTACCCAACAAGATTGCAAAGAAAACATATTTCTTTTATAATTTGAATGAATTATATGAATTCATTTCATCATCCGAATTAAGGTTACCAAAAAAAACCAGTAAGTTTTAATTCGAAATTTTTTTTTTTTTTTAAAAAAAAAAAAGTTGTAACTATTTAAGCATTATTTTAATAACATTGATCTCTATTTGAATTTTTAGTGGCACTTGATACTGAGCAATCTGTCTCTTATTCACAAGTAACTAAAATATCACATTATCGAATGCCAATTCCGGTCACCTTAAAAATTAGTCATGAAACCATTCAAGTTATAACGGTAATTATAATTTATATAACCATAATTTTAATTCATATATATTATAAATTTTTTAAATTTATCTAATTTATCTTGAAATTTATGTTCTCATTAGACAAGAAAACAAGATATCTTTAATGGATTAAACTGTCATTTAAATGATGTTTATCATATATCAGAAATTGAAGATGTTAATTTGTCATCTCATAGAAATGATGATAATGAATTTATCATTAAACAAGATCACGGAAGACCATCATTTTCGTTCACAAGTTCGAAGAAAGAATCAATTATACAAGTAAATATACTAATCATTATTATAATAAATAACTTTTGAGACAATTACTTATTTCTTTCATATTTATTATATTTATTAGACAATCCGTGCATCCAAAACTAGGTATCAAATAGCCAAACCTACGCAAATCACGGAACGAGTAATACGACCCAATGATGTGCCTGGAACATTATTAAATATGGCACTATTGAACATAATGAGTGAAGATCCAAATTTAAGATTAGCAGCTTATAATCTTTTGGTGGCTTTAAGTTTAATATTTAATTTTGATGTGGGAAATCAATTGCTGTGGGCCAAAGGTTTGTTTTCTTTATAGATTTCATGAATTTTATGTCTAATTTTAACATTCTAAACAATTTTCGTTCTTCTTTTATTCACATTATTCACATTATTCACATTATTCACATTATTCACATTATTCACATTATTCACATTATTCACATTATT